GCGCCAGCGCCGAGGATCCCGCACTAACCTTTCCCGGGGAGACGCGCACACAGGCCCCCTAAAACCCACGGAGCTATTTCCCGTAAAAGACACTTGCCTCTCCTGCCTGGATCCCCAAACACACCCGAGCGTTGGATGTAGTTAGGCGCTGCTGATCTGGAAATGTCCTTTGGAACACGGACAGTGTGAGGGAGGCGAATTTGGCTGTGGGAAATTAGGGGTAGGTTGGTGTTTAGAAAAGGCTTAATTGTCTATTCGTCTATGTGTCCGATCGTGGGTTCATGTGCGAGAGAGAATAGACAGACTGACTGACCCCACTACCCACACACTGCTCTGCATCAGGCCCTTGATCCACTAGGCCCTGGGAAGAGGGTACAAGTCCACTTGGGGCTTCTGTTTTCTTCACTGGTGTTTGGGAATTTGCCTGTAGAGTCCCAGCGGTTCTCAACCTGTGGGTCGAGACCCCTTTGGGGGTCGCCTAAGACCATCGGAAAACACATATATAATTACATACTGTTTTTGTGATTAATCACTATGCTTTAATTATGTCCAATTTGTAACAATGAAATTGGGGGTCACCACAACATGAGGAACTGTATTAAAGGGTCGCGGCATTAGGAAGGTTGAGAACCACTGCTATACGGTTGAAGCCTTGTCACTCACTCCAAATTTGAAGGTGTCAGGAATACAGTGAATTCCTGATAGGACTTTGTAGCAGAGACGCACCCTCATCTCTGGGACCAGCAAAAGGGATTACATGATTCAGAAATTTAAAAAAAAAATAGTGCAATACTTTAAGTCTTTGTCTCAGCTTAACTGCATCGTCATAAATAGTTCTTCCAAGTCTAACAATGAAAACATACATCGCCTTCTTCCTTCAGCTTCCTTTTGATTCTATCATATTTTTCCTGGAAAATTACTTCCTCGTGGAAGACAGTCTGTTTGCTTTCTTTACCTGACCTGACCCTACTTGGTCATGATTTGGGTTTGTCAGATGGCCTTGGCTTCAGAGCCGAGGGCTTGAGCTCCTTCGTGTGACCACGGATGCAGGTGGCACCGCTATTTTAAAAGGTTTTCTTCCCTTGAGCAGTGAGGACAGTCTTCACCCTCGGATTGTCCTTTCGAGCGCCCGGACTTGAATATCCCATTCACTGGAGCAAACAAGATAACTGGATAGCAGTCAGCCTGCGTAAACCAGACCACTCTTCAACCACTGCTCCCGATACTCAATACGCGATACCCTTGAAGCGCAGGGCTGGGGTGATCTTGGGGAAAGTGCTTTCCCACTTGACTCACTTGTACTCTTCTTTCAAAGTCAGGTTCTATTGCTGTTTAACTGGTGATTTTATCAGCTGCTTATTTTTAACAGCCTAATCCTCTTTGTGGAAGTGGGTGGCACCATGAAGGAGGGTGAGCGCGAGGCTGCCCGGCCACCTGTGAGACAGGGCTCCACCCGCCCCCGGCTGGGCCACGCTCCCTGGGTTCATCCCAGGTCCACGCAGCCAGGCCGCCAGATTTCATGCCCAGGAAGCCCCCGAGTGAGAACTCAAGCATCACATTTTGACAGAATTAACTTAATACCCACCAAACTCGCTGCGTTCCTGAACTGCCTTCCCAGTCCATTGACACTGCTGAACTTGGCTGTCCTGGAGATGTAGCCTTAGCATGAAGCACGGAATGGAAAGTTGCTGCGGGTCTAAAACAGGAAATGGAAAGTTAGTGACTGAACAAAAATTTACCCGCGTGGAAATGCTCAGAGCAGCTGTGATGAAATGTGGGATGTCTGTAAATCAACAATAATCCCTGTGGTTCTTCCCTCACTCGCCATTGTTTGTTTGCCTGGGTGAATGAGTTTGTAAGACTCAGAACAGGAAAAGCCACACCCAGTTACTTTTGCTATATGGGTTTTAAAGAATTTTATTAAAATTAAAAAAGTTTTTTAATTACAGTTGATATTCAATATTATATTAGTTTCAAGTGTACAGCGTAGACATTTAAATAGCTTATGAAGTGACCCCCGATAAGTCTAGTACCCCCCTTACATCATACATGGTTATTATAATATTATTGACTATATTCCCTATGCTGTACATCCCCATAAGGAGTTTTTGTTTGTTTGTTTTTTGTTTTTTTTTTTTTAGAGATACTCTGAGGTGCATGGTAATTGCATTTTTTCTTCTTGAATATCTTCATAAAATTAAATATTCAGGAGTTTCTGAATGCCCGTCCTTCTGACTCATAAACCAACTCATTGTTCAACACCAGTGTAGCAGTGGGGTGAAGTTCTATTCCCCATGAGTTCATCTTGGTGTGACTTCTGAAATGGCCAGCAAAAGAACAGGGTGGGTGAGGGACACCTGTGCCCGCTTTAATTTGGTGTGTTGTTCTGTTTGCAGGGCTGTTGAAGCCACTGGAGGGAAGGTAACACTGCCCACCCCTCTCCGGGGAGGGGCCCCTTCTGGCCATGTCTCCTGCAGCAGCTGAACCAGATGGGGTCCAGCGAGACAGGCATGTCAGCATGCTCATCTTCTTCCTTTTCGTCTTTGGTGCCATCCTGCTGTTTGTGGGGGTCCTGCTCTCCATCTTTGGGTTCCAGGCATGCCAATACAAACCCCACCCAGACTGCAGCCTGGTGCTGAAGGTCGCTGGGCCTGCGTGTGCCGCAGTTGGACTTGGGGCTGTGATCCTGGCCCGCTCTCGGGCACTCCTTCAGTTCCGGCAGGGGCGCCGTCGGGGCAACCGGGCGGACCCCGACCGGCCCTTCATCTGCGGAGAGAGCCGCCAGTTTGCCCAGTGCCTCATCTTTGGATTTCTGTTCTTGACCAGCGGCATGCTCATTAGCATATTGGGCATTTGGGTCCCTGGCTGTGGCTCAGACTGGGAGCAGGAACCACTGAATGAGACAGACACTGCCAACGAGGAGCCCCAGATCTGTGGATTCCTGTCCCTGCAGATCATGGGACCCTTGATTGTGCTCATGGGACTGTGTTTCTTCGTGGTCGCCCATGTTAAGAAGAGAAACAACTTGAACGAGGGCCAGAATGCCTCTGAAAGCGAAGAGAGACAGACCCAGAACACGGAGCCTGTGCAGGTCACTGTAGGTGCGTGGCTTCATTCCTGTGCGTGCTCACATCACAGTGGCTGTTCATCAAGGCTTCCCTGGGCCTGGCCTAGATTCTCTCTCTCTCTCTCTCTCTCTCTCTCACACACACACACACACAGTGCTGCTGCTATGGTAGGCCCCATAGAAGTCCTTGTATACATCATTTTGCCCCAGTAATTCCATATTATTTAGCAAATGCTTTGGGACATTAAGTGGTAACCTTGAGTAATGTCACAGAGCAAATTTAGAGGAAAGAATCTCAAGGACAGCCTGCAAGTCCTCTCTCACTTTAGGGACCTGCCAAGCGGCCCTCCTCCCCCTGTTATTCTCACACTAAAACCTGTGGCACTTTGCATTGCTGGACGCATGAGTTCGCATCCCGTTTATATATCCATAAAGTGAACATTTCTAAGATTCCTTCCAGCACTAACTTTCCAGGATTCTGAGTCTGTCCCAAGTCCACCAGTCTTCTATGTTTTGAGGGGCCTTCTGTTTTTCTGCATTGTTCTTTATTTTCTGTAACTTCAGGATTAGGGCAAAGTTGGGAAGCAGTGGCATAAATGAAGATGAAATGTGGCAACACCTGTCCCTTCTTTCCCCCATGGAATGCCTAGTAATTCCTTTTGGTTCCCTTGGGTTCTGCTGAATAGATGGATTACCATTTCCCAGAGTCAGCCCCCCCCCCCCAAGAACAATGTCAGTAACTTTGGCCTCAGCTTCACACAACCAAGAAAAAACCCTATTGCTACTCGTTTTTGCAAATTACTGTACTGCGGTTTTTTTCCCCAGTCTCCTTTAGAAAGCTCTGAAGCCACATCCTTGACCTCTAAAAGGCTAGGCAAGGAGAATCGCAGAGCAGAAACCATGGAGGGAACAGAGGAGGAGAGTGGCGAGTGAGAGGCTCCTTGTGTCCGGGGCTGTCTACAGAGCCAGCAGTGCTCCCAGCAGAGACTGGGCGGTCCCTGGGCTGCGGGCCCTGCAGGGCACCAGCCTCAGAGAGGAAGGGCAGATGGACTTACAGACAATCCTTGCATTGAGCCAGGGTTGATGCTCCCAGCTTATTTCATTGTGTATTTATATACTATGGTGACAACACAAATATTAGTTATCTATTAATAACAGCTAACACATATGTCAAGTTTACTCCTGTGCTAAACACGCATCTTAATGTTCTTCAAGGGCCTATTGTGTGAAATGCCTTCACTTCCCCAAGGACCAACTGAGGCAGATACTCTTAGTATCTCCATGTTAGAGATGAAGAAACGGAGGCCCAGGGATGTTAAGTAATTTGCTCAAGGTCGCAAAGTAGCAAGCAGCAGAGCCAGGATCCAAACCCAGGCGGGTGGGCACTCATATACTATGGCCCTTGCATCGCACCTTCCCCAGGGCACGGGCTGGAGTTCTGTTTCTGCTGGTTTTGTCTTCACCTGGGTTCTGGGTAGTTGTCACATGACAAAAGGGCTCACCCAATATAGACGGTCTCAGTCCTTTCGGGGAGCACAGTGGGGTCCATGAGAACACCCTCATGGGATGCTCAGTGTTCACTTAGTTGGGGGGACATTTTGAGGTGTGCCCTTTGGATTTGCTATCAGGAGAGTTTGGGGGCAGCCTCTGTCCTGGTGGCTGGAATGTGGGGGGCAGTGGGTAGCAGGGCTCTAACCCCTGGGCAGTTCTGCCCTGCTGTTGGCACTGCATAGTTTAAAATCTTAAAATCTTTTCTACTTAACCCTTTAAATCCCATCAAACCTGTGAAAATCGGGCACCCTAACTCCTTGTTTTTCTCTCCTTTATATTATGGCATGGGGTTTACATTTTTAGAAATCAAGACTTTTAGTACAATTGATAAGACTCTGGACATTGTCTCTAATGGTCAGTTCTGCCTTATGAGGGAAACTGGGGTGATAAGAGGCAGTTCTTGGCTCGGTCCCAGAATTCAGCTGTTCCCCCTACACCCGCTGGTAGATAAACCGATGATGTCCTCTCTGTGAACATACTCAGCGCTGGACCTGGGCCCGCAGCAGGTATGGGAGACAGCCCTCCCTGACGGGTATGATGCCAAGTCATGGAGGATACCAAGTCCTGCAGGGCCTAGTGACAGGGAAGCCCCGGGGGGTTGGGGGAGACTTTTTTCCTGTTGAGAGCAGATTGTGAGTGTGGGAGGCTGGGAGCTGACTGGCAGATGGACAAGCCCAGAGATAACTGTTGACTTTGCACATTTCCTTGTTTGTGTTTGATGTTTGATAGGTGAGTGGCCTGCTTTAGAGGCTTATTCCCAAGTCCTATGTCCTACAATGTGTAATTAAAGTGAACACTTAACTTTACTTCCTCTGACCTACCCTGAAGAAAATGAAAAGCCAAGCATTATGCTTTATCAATTTAGATTAGCAAGGTAAGCTCCAACAGCTAGGAGCGGTGGAGTTCACGCCCAAGGGGCAGAGTGGAACCACTGGCCAGGACTGCCAGTTGGGAGTGTTTCTCCAGACATGCAAATAAGTGCCACATGCTGGCGGAGTGTGAAGAAAGCAGCTGTGAGGGCGTGGGACAGCTGAGAGGGTTTGCTCTTTGCCCAGCACTGTTTTAATGGCTGACTGTGAATCCACTTCTCCTACCTGCCCCGAGGCAGGTTCAGTGATGGCCTACAATTGACAGATGTGGCAGCTGAGGCCTAGAGGGGTTCAATAACTTGGTCAGGGCCATGCTGGGTTGGTAACTGGCAAATGGGACCCGGGAGCTCTAAAGAATCCTGTCCTTAGCTAGGCAAGCATCAGATCTGCTGCCCAGCACAAACCCAGCTCCTTCCACAGAGAGGAAGCAGTTTAGAGCTTGCATCTGGTCCCTCGGTTCTCCTCCCCCAAACACAGGTGCCTGGCTAGAAATGCTGCAAAGTTTGACTGTGTTTTGTGAAGCTTGGTGAAATATTGGCAGGTAAAGACTCTACAAGAGCATAAACCACAGCTGTGGCGATGCCAATGATGGGACGTAGGGTAGCTAATCTGTTCAGAGGTGAAACTGCATTTGAGGAACAAGGCACTTGATCCAACACTAACTTTTGATGAATTAAAAATGTAAGTTAAGCCCAGCTGGTGTGGTTTAGTGGTTGAGTGTCGACATATGAGCCAGGAGGTCACGGTTCCATTCCCAGTCAAGGCACATGCCTAGGTTTTGGGCTTGATTCCAGGTGGGGAGCGTGCAGGAGACAGCCGATCAATGATTCTCTCACATCATTGATGTTTCTCTCTCTCTCCCCCACTCCCTTCCTCTCTGAAGTCAATAAAACAAAAAGAAAAGAAAACAAATTGTAAGTTAGAAACAAGAAAAACTTTAAAGCTGTACCCATCCCAAGGGAGGCACACGGTTAGAAAATGCTTCACTGAAATGCTTTAGCTCAGACAATGAGAAAGGCCTACTATTTTTTAAAAATTGTGGTAAAATATATATAATATAAATTTTACCATGTTGACAGTTTTTAAGTGTATGGTGGCATTGAGTACATTCACAATGTTGTACAATTGTCACCACTCTCAATTTCCAGAAGTTTCTCCTCATCCCAAACAGAAACTTGGCACCCATTAAACACTAACTCCATCTCCCCCTCCCCCCAGCCCCTGGCAACCTCTACCTTCTGTCTCTAAATTTGATCAAACCACTTTTTGATTCTGTAGTTGGCATAGGGGTTGTGACTATTTCTATAGATGAGCCAAATCTGTACTCAATTTATTTTGCGCTTGCTAATTTGTTTGCACTTATTGCTTATCCATCTTCCACAAAACATTGTGTGTCTCCTTAGGTGATGCCGTGATCATATTCCCGCCCCCTCCGCCTCCTTACTTTCCTGAGTCTTCAGCTTCTGCCGTGACCAGAAGTCCTGGAGCAGACAGTTTGCTTCCAAATGAAAATCCGCCTTCATATTACAGTATTTTTAACTATGGGTAAGACTTTGCCTTTGAACTCCAAGAGAAGCATCTTCATCGTTGCAGGCCTGTACCTCATTTTGGGCCAGATGAGCTGGAAGGCTGCAGTAGAGGAGTAGTAAACATCAGAGTGTATCTTTTCTTGCTGACGTTATGTCAGAATTATTGCCTAATGTTAACAGTACCTTTCAGGAAACTTTGGGCAGCACATAAGTTAAAAATTATAAAAGTTGTTGTGCCTGGTTAATGTGGAGCCTTCTCCAGCCATCTCTCTGTGCTCCTAGCGGGGGCGACCCTCACAATGTTTAACAACCCGTCTGCCAAACTGAGCCGGGCTCGGGAGGCCCCTGCTTGCTGCTTTAGATTGTAGGGAGACGTGGGGGTCCCAGGGCACCTCCAGGAGGTACAGAGGGTGTTAGTAACTAGTGGACGTTCTTGAGTGACCGGCTAAAGTCACTGCACCCTGACCTGACCAAGCTGCATTTTCCCTTCAATATTAAGTTGTTCCCTGGGCCTCAGAGCCTCTCGGATTAACTGAAGAGACATAGAAGATCCCCCACGTGCCACAGATTAGGAGGCGTGCATGTGGTCAGATTAAAGAGCAGAAATCTAAGGGCTTTTCCTTTAGGCAGAGCAAAGCAGTTGAAGGTTTTGGAGTCAGAGCGATGGGCTCCGAGCCGTTGGTTAGCACAGTTCACAACGGGAAAGGCTGGCCGTGGCCAGACCGGTGGGCGCTGAGTCTCATGGACAGGCTGAGGTACCAGGAGCCAGACTGTGGCGGTGAGGGGGGGGGGGATGGAGAGGACAGTGAGGAGGAGCAGAGATTGTCATGTAAGGGGAGGGACAGGGACAGTGGATGTCCCTGGCAGAGGAGGAGGTGGGACTGAGCTCAGGGTACGTGGGGGAAGATGGTGCACAGGCTTGTGGTAGAGGGGCAGGTAGGCTGAGAGGCTAGGCCTGGACAGGGAGGTGGAACTGGAAGAGGTTGCTGAGACAGGAGAGCAGCGGCTTAATGACCTGCTGAGGATCCATGGGGGCAGGCGTTACAGGAAGGAGTCCTGGGAAGTGCCAGGCAGGAGCAGGGCTGGCAAAGGCTCTGGTACCTTCTGAACGGGCGACCAGGATGTAGGAGGTGAAATCTTCGCTGCCAGAAGGTTTTACAGGGCAAGGTGAGTGGGCGAGCAGATCAGTGACCGCTGACTTCTGAGACATGGAGACGTGCATTTTTGAAAGCAGTGGGAAGCAGGACACGAGAGTCGCTGTGAGCTGGCGGGGATGGGTGCTGCCTGGGCTGGTCACTCACCTTCTGAGGTACATGTCCTTGTGCTGCAGAAGGGGCGGTGAGCTGGAGAGCTGACCAGAGACGAGTGTAGGAACTGCCCTGCATGGATGAAGGGGCGGTTAGGGTCCAGACATTTGTAGAATTCTGTTAGTGACGTTTTCTACTCTTTTCTCCAATGATGAACTTCTCCAAGCCCCAAAGTAAATGTCTATTAACTTAAAAAAAAAAAAAAAAGACTCCTGCTGCTGTGATGATTTCTGTGTGCCAGTCAGGCTTTTCTTGCATTACCCCGTATAATTCTCAGTCTCGGGAGGTCTACACTGTTATCCCCATTTTATAGACGAGGAACCGAGGCTTAGCCACTGCACAGCTAGAAAGCAGCAGGATGGAAATTCAGATGAGGTCTGCCTGGTGCCAACGCCCACTCCATTAATGACTATGCCTTCCTGCTTCCTTCACGTTTTTGGCCCAATGATTTAATTTTCTGTTTGCTGTCCATCTTACGTTAGCTGCCTCAGAAGACACAGTAGCAGAGAACAGTAACTGTGTGTGTGCTCTTTGGGGGCGGCACCTGTACATTTGTGCTCCAGGTCTTTTCAGTGACAAAGGAAATGACAACAGGAGTGAGACTCTCCTAATGTTACCATCAGCTCTAAGGAAAGTAAGGGGCAAGGAATGAAAACATATCTATATATATAAAAGGCTGATATGCAAAGTGTCCCCTTGGGAGTTTGACCAGGAGACCGGGAGTTTGATCGCTTGCTATAACTGTGCTGACCACCAGGGGGTGGCACAGAATGAAGGAAGGCCCCAGCCGGCAGCCGGCAGCCGGGGAAGGGAGGCCCCGGCTGGCAGCTAGAAGGCCCTGATCGGCCCTGATCGCCAGACAGGCCTAGGGACCCTACCCATGCAGGAATTTCATGCACTGGGCCTCTAGTCTATAAATAATAGAATGTGAAAAAATGACTCCTTAGGTCCTTGCACATTTGAAAAGAACCTTCTCCTCCCTTTCATGTTCTCTCTCTCTTTTCAGCAGGACCCCAGCTCCTGAGGGCCAAGGCACAGCCCCTGAGAGAGAGCGTGTATCCATCTACACCATTTCGGGGACTCCTTCATCCTCTGAGACCTCCCACACGCCACATCTCTCGTCTGAATTGCCTCCCAGATACGAAGAGAAAGAATCTGCTGCAGCCGCATCCTTGTCTCCCTCTTCTCAGCCTTCCCCACCATGAACTAGTGACTCTGGTTCAATTTTATATAGAACCGATCACTATTTTATTTAATTTGTTTTTTAATAAAAAGTACAATAGCATTGGCTATGTTCTGATTTCCCTGGTGCAGCATCAACAGCAGTGACAAACCTTCACATACACGAGAGGGTCAGGGACAGAAAGTTAAAATGAGGCATATATGACATTCTGAGCTAGGATGGGGTAAGGCACTTTGGGGGCTTCAGAGGTCATTGCAGGATGAGAAGAAGAGCAGACGTTCAATAATTAGTAATTTGCCCTGCCCTATCTATCTATATATATAAAACCCTAATATGCAAATAGACCAAATGGCAAAACAATCAAAAAACCGGTTGCTATGTTGTGCACTGACCACCAGGGGGTGCATGCAGAACATGGCAGGCGTTGGCAGCAGGCAGCAGAGTGCGGAACACGGCGGGCGTTGACCATGGGGGGATGCTGGAGCAGGTGAGTGGGGATGCCAGACCAAAGCAGGGTGCCGGTCGCTGTCATCAGGGCAAGCCTCTGGTGGTTACTGAAAATTCTTTGCTCCTGCATGCCACGGTCCTACTCGGTGCTTGCACCTGCTGCTAGCGCTGGCCCCGCTCGCACCCGCTGCCAGCTCCCGGCGCCGGTCCCAATCACTTGGCATCATCAGTGAGTGCGAGCAGTGGCTGCCAGCCATGATCGCCCCTGAGGGCTTCTCCACCTCCTCCTGCTCCTGAGGGGTGATCAGGGGAGCAGTGGCCGGCCCCAATCGTTCTGCACCATCAGCAGGTGTGAGTGGGGCCAGCGCCATCAGCGCGTGGGAGCAGCAGCGGTGGGAGTGGGGCTGCCGGCTGACGGGACCAGGGGCAGTGGCAGGAGGGGCCAGGCAGGGGCGTGGAGGATGGGCCAAGACCTGCCCCTGTGCCCACCGCAGCCTTGTGGCCCACAGTTCCTTTCAAGGTGCATGAATTCGTGCACTGGGCCCCTAGTAGGTAGATAAAGTTATCTCTGATAATTTCTTATTATGGGCAAGGCCCCTAATTCAAGTTCTTGTAATCTAGGTAGTTAAAAAGAGAGAAGGGCAGAAGTTTCTCTTGAAGCATTTTGATTGCCTTTAGTTCAAAATAATTTGCATACCACAGAGCACATCTTGAGGTGACTCACACAGGTTAAGCTGTTAGGGCTTCACACCCTGGGAGAGGCAAAGTGCCTCCAGCCGGCACAGACATGTAAGCAGGTTCTCTCACTTAGGCCTCTAGTCCAGGTGCTTGGTGGGATCATTCCTATTGGATGAAGAAGAAAAGGCTCAGAACTAATTAACTCACCCAAGGTCACATGCTTCTAAATGGAGAGGTGGGGCTTGAACCCAGCTAGGTGGTTTCTGAAAGCCAGGCGCACGCGTCAGGACCCTGTGCTGTCAAAGGCCAACCAGAGTGGGTGTTAATGTTCAGCTCCGTCCATTCTGCCTCCGGTGTTAATTGCTTCTGAGGCCGAGAAACCAGATTGCTCTCCTAATTTCGTTATTATTTCTTCTTCCTCATCTTTCCCTTTCTCTTCCTCTCCTTCCACCTCCTCTTTCTATTCCTTTTTTTCTTTTCCTCATTTAGAAAGACAGTAATCTGGGTAATAATTTACACTGGGCAGTTACCAGTATGCCGACATCCTGACGCCTCCTTATAGTGAAGTGACACTTTAAGAAAAACATTTCCCGGGATACTGTGGGAGCAAGAGTCCCCTGGAGAGGTCGGGGCAGGATGTGCCTTTCTGTATTATCACAGCCTGGTGCCAAGCTGTCTGGACTGACTTTTGTTCTCATAAGGCTGCTGCTGAACACAAACTTTTGTATAGTTGGGTACAATGATAAAAACATGTATTTAATTCTAGATTACATAAAGCTTAAGAAATAATCTCTAAGTATTAGCAGTTCTGCCTTGGAGAAACTGATTTAAAAATATATATATATATTTTATTGATTTCAGAGAGGAAGGGAGAGGGAGAGAGAGATAGAAACATCAATGACGGGAATCATCAATCGGCTGCCTCCTGCACGCCCCCTGCTGGGGATTGAGCCCCGAAACTCGGGCATGTGCCCCTGCCTGGAATCAAACCCGGGATCCCTCAGTCCACAGGCCGACACTCCATCCACTGAGCCAAACCAGGTAGGGCAAGAAACTGATTTTTAAAATATGAAATCGGTAGTAACTTAGCATTTTGGGTAACAAAATTTGATGTAGCAAAAATGTGAACTTTTTATGCCTTTTACACATGCCACATCCCCATTAAAATCAATGTTATCCAGCGTGGAGGTGCCTGGAAGCAGAACTTCAGGGCCTTACTGCTCCAGTAGCTGAGCTGAAGTATAACTGCTCTCATGGGAATCGCCGCCGCAATAAATCAGGCCAGCAGCCTGCCCCAGCAGTGCCCATCTAGTCCTAAATTGGACATTTATTGGATTGAACTGCTCTTAAAATTCTGCGCTTTTTTCCTGGAAGGTTAATTATTCACATTTTAAAATTAGAACAGAGGGTAGTTTATAACCACTTCCTCCTGCTGTTATTTGTTTATAATGATTAAGCTGAAATTTCTAGGTAGAATTAGTTTTAAACATTTATGAGTTCTCATGTACAATCAGGAGCCCTTTTCATGGCTCTGAGCTGGGAATTGACATGAAGTATTCTACCTTTGCATGCTAATCAACCTAAAAAAGCTTTTAGAAATGCTCAGGTGTAAGTTTGACCTCCTGATTAAGGAAGTCTAATCTATTTCCATGAGTCTCTCTGGTACTCAGCAAAGTGGGGACTGAAGCCACAGCACAGAAAGGGATCTCCCAGTGGGAGGCTGTTAACAGCAGGACTGACATCACAGGCAGCAGAGCTGCTGTGACTCATACAGTCAGAGGAAGAGGCGGCCTTTGCCTGCCAAGGTTCTGGCAAAGGATGGCAGCATCTGAAAACCCACCTGGCTGCTGTTACGTCTTTTTTCCTTATGTTTTAACATTTTTAAAAATCGAGGTGAAATTCATATGCAGGCATACCTCGTTTTATTGCACTTTGCAGATGTTGCATTTTCTGACAAATTGAAGGTTTGTGGTAACCCTTCAAGGAGCAATTCTACCGGCACCATTTTTCCAATAGGCTCAGATGAAGGTTAGCATTTTTTTTCCTTTTTAGCAATAAAGTACTTTGTGTAAACAGAACTTTTATATGCGTTGGGAAACAAATTTGTGTGGTTCCTTTTATTGCAATATTCCCTTTAGTGCGGGAGTCTGGGGCTGAACCTAAGTATCTACAAGGTATGCCTGCACCATAACATTAACCGGTTCAAAGTGAACAGTTCAGTGCATTCAGAACATTCACATGTTGTATGGCCACCACCTCTCTCAGGCTCCAAAACATTTTTATCCAAAATAAAACGCATTCTCTTCCTCCTTCCCACCACTCCCAGCCCACCAGCAACCACCCATCTGTTTTCTGCTTCTATAGATTTACCCTTTTTGCGTATTTCATGTAATTGGGGTCATGTCCTATGTGACCTTCTGTCTGCCTTCTTTCATTTAGCACATGTTTTTGAGATTTATCCACATTGTAATATGTATCAGTGCTTTTTCCTTTTAGAGCTGAATAATAGTCCACTGTATGTATGTGCCACAGTTTTGTTTATTCACTCATCCATTGATGGACATTGGGATTGTATTTGACTTTTGGCTGTTGTGAGTAATGCAGCTCTGAACATTCGTGTATAAGTATTTGTTGGAGTATCTGTTTTCAATTCTTTTGGGTATATACCTAGAAATGGAATTTCTGGATCATATGCTAACTTTTTAAAAAAAGATTTTTATTGATTTTTAGGCAGAGAGGAAGGAAGAGGGAGAGACAGAGAGAAAAACATCAATGTGAGAGGGAAATATTGATCAGCTGCCTCCTGCACGCCCTACCAGGGATCAAGCCCACAACTCCAGGCATATGCCCTGGTCAGGAATCGAACTGGCAACCTCCTGGTGCACAGGACAATGCCCAACCACCTAAGCCACACTGGCCAAAGCTCATATGCTACTTTAGTCTGAATTTTTGAGGAACTGTAGTTGTTTTCCACAGAAATTGCACCTCTTTATATTCCCACCAGCAATGGATAAGAGTTCCAATTCTTCCACACCCTTACCGATAGTATTTTATTTTTTAAATTAAAGTTATATTATAGCCATCCTAGTTAGTATAAAGTGGTAGCTCATGGTTTTGATTTGAATTTCTCTAATGACTAATAATGTTGAGAGTCTTCTCCTGTGTTGTTTTTGAATATTATTATCAGTAGCCTAAGAAATACTAGTATTACTCCAGATTCTCCTCCTATGGTGTTGGATGGTGTGATGACTCACCTCATAGAAAATACTAGTAGTGAGGAAGTCTGCAAATTCAAGGGAGACACCCACACAAGGCAGGCGGTGCCGCCATGCTGCCGCTACACTGTGAACACCCCTTCTTGTGAATTCTTTATCCTCCCTGGGGTCAGTTAAGGAACTGACCCCATCAACCAACTCAACTGAAACTAAAGCAATTTTTGACAAGGGAAGGTACCTTTGGTATTTCTTCAATTTATGAACTAAGGAGGAATGGGGCAGGCCAAGAGAAACAGGTCTCAGAGAATGAGAGCCAGGGGGAAGGTAAACATGTGTCCATAGAGTTTCCACCTGAGAGGTGGGATTGGGGTGGGGAGAGGGACAGGAGGAGTTAAAGTGACCTCTGTGACATCCTCATGTGGTGTGACCGTTGGTGTTCTGGCACCGTTGCTGTGCAGAGGACTGTGTTTCCCATCGTTTCAGGGCAGGTTGTAGGAAAGGAATGGATCCAAGAGATAGGAAATCAGCCCTGGAAGGTGGCCTAACGTGGGCAGAAGACGGAGGGTACGTAGTCTGGATGGATCTTTCGAGGACCCAAGATGATAGGAACTATGGTAATTACTGAAAAAATTAAATTCCCGAGTTCCATTCTAAACTAGCCCAAAGAATCCAGATCTCCAGGGGGGACAATGTTTATCATGTGAGAAACCTGGGAAACACTGCCCGTGGGAATAATAGAAACTGCAGAGGCGACAACAACGT